AATAATGAGTTTAAGACTGTTTAAGTCTCTTTATTTTCATGTGTAAGCAAATGGACTTTGCACAATTTCACAACTATGAAAAAATAAGGCAGCTGATATAGAGAGCACTGCAAGCTTTCTTCACATTTTTGGCTTACAATTACACTGGCTACAAACTGAAGCAACAATTCATCAAGCATACAGGCTAAACCAAAGTGGTCTTGCAGACACTCCCCCCACCTCCATTACCCTTCAGTGTTTTGGCAAAGACTGATATATGGCTAAACAGAAAAAAAAAAGAAGTATTTAAGTGTTCTTATTGGGGGTGGGGGACAGATTCAGTAAATACAAACTGGACTAAAATACACCCCTATTAGCTGAAAAAAGCCTGGAAGCCTCGTCTGTGCTATTTTGATAGGGCAGTGTAAGCCAAGAAAATTGCATGGCTTAGGCAACAAAGAAAAAAGCCAAATCTTATTAAGACAAACAGCAAACTATCACTTTTAAGAGTCAGGCATTTGAAAAAAATCAATAAAGGTTAACTTCTGGGTTAAGCTGAAAACATGCTTACTTCACCGTTTTGCATAAGAGAACTTAAAGCAATCTAAAGTCAAGACATATAGCCACCCCCCCATCTCTCCCAGACGTTACTGGTGCCACCATTAATTAAGGCCGGCCCTACAGTGCAGGTGTAATCGACATAAATCAGGGGCTTGTCTGAGTTGGACTTCCCAGTGGAAGATAGGCAGCTGAGGAAGGTCTTTGTCGCTGAGACGGAGAGAAGTTCTGAAGTTCTGATGTCAGAGTGGTGGACGAAGAAGATGATGTGACAGATGCTGCTTGTGGTGCCTGATACCTGCAAACCATTGCAAAAACCACTGACTATATTTTAATCTTTAATATCACAGAATGATGCACAAGATTTAATAGGTGAGATATAAAAAAACAAAACAAAATATGTGAATTGTATTTAAAGCAGAATGGTGCAATGTATGGTAAAGTGCATGGACATGTTTTCAGGAAATCCAATTTATTAAAGAGGAAAACTGAAGACAAAATTACAAAATTATTCTTCTAAAATTTTGCTGCAAAATTCAGTTAGAGCCATAAATAAAGAAATTATCTACTTGCTGTTCTCTTACCAGGACTTAGATTTCCTGACCATTGGTGATGCAGTCCTTTCTCTAAAGAAAACATTTGCCAGGGGATCGTGTATTAGCCTCGGTGTAAAGGCTCTCTCCAGGTGAGTACCATCAAGATTTAACATGAACATGGTTGGGGGAGACATGTCTAACTCCAAAAGCATGATGTTCTCAGCCTGTAAGGATATACAACAATAAAAATGTAGTTAAAAAACACATTTACTTGCACAAAAAAATCCAGCCTCCACTCTAAGCCAGTTTCCATGGAGAAGCACATTAGATTTAATCTGAACAGTCACAAGAGACCAAGATATCCCAGCTCAGTCTAATGTTGGGTTACACTGACACTGATGCAATCCTTATAAAAATATTCGTTTTGCTGGATATAAGGATATCAATATGATCCCTATGGTGGTTATTACTCCTTGGTTGTACTGCACAGCCTGAAATCAGTGTTAGACTCTTCCATGGTGCTGACTGGTCTTCCCTGCCGTGAGTGTATTTGAACTGAGAACCCGGTGTTAAAGACCACTGCTGTAAAATACCTGTCTATATTTAAACAAGATGGCTATCAGGTAATCAGATATTTCTAACAGTATGTTAGTACACTTAATCAGACAGCTATAATATTTACCAGACAACTGCATTAAAAAGACTCCATAAAACACCAACGCCACAGACATAGATCCAATCCAGTGACATGAATTAGCTGAAGTGATGCCTAGATGCAGAGTTAAAAGTTTGGACCCAGCCAAATTCTTTGCGATTCAAAAATGGTCTGCAACTGTTGCACACCAAAAACCTTCCATCATTTTATGCAAATAGTTTTCTCCCTTTCCAGTAAAGGCTTCTGTTGTAAAGCTTCTGCTCTTTAATGTCTTATTAACAGTATCTTAACACTGATAAAACATGAAACATTAAACAGCCATAGAGTGATGAGTGATTCTTCTGAAATGTAAACTGTATGCTTTCTTACAATAATGGCTCACTGGCTAAAGATGCGAAAGTTAAATCTGTGAATAGTTTCCATGGCTACAATGGTCTCCGCATCCTTCAGCAAAGGTTGGTGGTTGTGAACATGAAAATGGAAATTAGATCACAACTTCCCTGTTTCGCTGCTGTTTCTGCCAACTGGCCTTGTGAATTTCCAAACACTGACCTGGTATCGAGATGGGGCCCCGGTAGCTGTGGCAACAGCCATCTGTGCATATTGGCTGACTGGCCTCTTGTAACCCAAAGCTGAGAGAGGCCTTCTCCTGACCTGAGTGGGTGTACTGGAAAAAAAAAAAAACATAGGAAAGGATGAATTTCTGCAGTTAAATACACTTAGGGTGGATGTCACCTGAGATGTAAACCTTTTTGAGACCCATGTTCCCCATAGATAGCCAGCTAATTAGCTTGTAGCAATATTTCTCAACATGGCAAATGTCCCAGGTTAGGAAATAAAAATACACCAGATTCATGAGAATTCATAATATATCATTATCTGTAATCCTTAAGACCAGAGCCATTTTCATGTGAAGGATTTTTTTTTTTTACTTTAGTGACTCCCAGTGGTAGCTAAAATTATTGTGGCTGAAAAATACCAGATATGCTGTTAGATGTTATAATTTAGACACAAATTCTATCAATATAGTCAGTATATGAAGTGCTAAAATATCTTTTGGCCAGATCCACTTTTCTGGTTATGTGCTTCTGTTACTTAATTCCTATATTTTCCAGGGGGTTGATTGAGAGCCCATAGAAAAGAAATGTGCAGGTGCATTTAAGTGTAAAGCATGCAGATCAAAAGAACTCTAATAGCTACAGTAGAAAAAGCACATGTGTATCCCTTATTTAAAACCTTACACATTCCAGGTACACAGCGGCTGGTGTTTTTCTGTTTCAGTGATGGATTTCTTGCGTGCTCACAATTTCTTTATGAGAATGTTCTTTCTTTAATGTACCATTTACAGATACAGATATTTAATTTACTGACCTCTCTGATGGAATAACTGGTTGGAGTCTCCACTGGTCCTCCTCGCTGTCAAAGTACAGCCTATTTATAATTTTGTTCTTTTCCTCGGGAGGTATAAAATTCTCAATCAAGAGATATCTGTAATACAGAAGACAAGCGGGTGCAAATTGAAATCAGCCAAAATAATACAAATTAAATTCCTGTATAAAATGGTGTAAAATGGAAACAAAAAACTTGGGCATATGTGTGTTTCATTAGGATAGTCTTAGAGTACCTTTAGATAATTGTTGTTTTGAATGAAGGTGAGACATCTGTTTAACTTGATATATATTAATGATATTATAGTGATACAGTATAACAGGAAGACACCTCAATGATGGCGTAAAATTTAAAAGCTTAGATTGTATATATCCAGGTGAGGTCTAAAACAAGTTGCACCAATGAACAACAAAAAATATTATCTTGGTTACAAGCATGCATGAATAATTTGCATTCCTAATGACTAAGAAAGAACAACGCTAAAGACCCCAACTCATGAAAAAGTTTATTAGTTTATCAAATAAAAATGCATTATAACCAAAATTGGGTGGATTTCTTTCTTCTTTCTTTCTAAAAAGAAAAATTCCATCATGTATGTTTTATGTACTACTTACTTGTACTTGAGCTCTCGGGTGAGCTCATTCTGCGTCTGTTCAAGTTCCTGTCTTGTTGTGATGTGTTCGTCAATGATTTCTTTCATCTCTCTCTTCAGTACCTGTAGTTTGGTACACAACTGTACAGAAAGGACAGAACAGAGGTCTGCATCACGAAACCTGGAGTAGCAAAATGTTTGCATGAAAACAGTGATGGTTTATGCAAATGTAAAATACCCCCGCACAAGAAAAGTCATTAAAACCTCAAATTTAAGCGCACAATAACAATGGCTAATCTGTACTAAGTATTTTACTGACATTGTCTGTGTAAAAAGGATTGTTTATAGTAAATAAGACTAATAGTTAATTGATTTTCCAATAATGCCATTGGGACGCATTAGTGGGTGAGTCATCTTACTCTTTTCAGCTTCTTTGTCTTAAGTTCGATCTCCTGCTGCAGGGAGGAGTATGTTTCTTTCATTTCCACGGTCTCCTCATCCTGCAGCATCATCTGCTGTTGGATCTCTCGCTCTTGTCTTATCTGCAAATTAAACATTCCAAGCTGAATAAAAGCAACAAAAAAGTTTCTTTATTATTGATTTGATTTTAGACGCAATTAATAACCTGTTCTGCAATTTCTTGTCTCTTCTGCTCAAGCATTTTTTGTTGTTCATTGGTGTGATCGATTATAGTCTTTCCCCCAACTAACAGTTTGCTCTCCATGGCCTGTGAACAAAGATGCAATTAATTATTTATGCAGATTTCTTTTGTTCCACCAGTGTCTCGTTAATCTGAAATTTTACTGATTAATTCACTGGTTTCACACTTACAATACCTTATATTTCTCTATGATCTTCTCCACAGAATCTTGATCCCACTGCATGTCCTCCACGCTTATTCTGTTTTCATTCAGGTGCTTTAGCTTTTCACTGCTTCCCTGGCAAGCCAGGACTATTGGGATGTCACCTGCATCTTTCAAGTTCCCATCTGGTTCCTCTTCCACAGTCTTCCACACATCAGCATCCCTCTCTCTAAGGACGTCCTCCTCCATGCCAGCCAAACTTTTACTCAATCTTTTGCTATTCCTCCTCCTTCTTCTCTCTTTTGCGAGCATCCCCCGCTCCTCTAGCTGAGCTTTCAAGCGTGCGATCTCCTCCTGAAACTCCCTCAGCAGGGCATCTTTGGGGTCCTCATTAATCCGTGGTTTGTTCTTTATTTTCTTGGCTCTGCTGGCGTATCTCAGCGTGGCCTGGGATTCATCAAAATTCTTGTGCGAAGGCCCCACTGTTGCTATCATGACAGTCTTTGCATTGCCACCCAGGGAGTCCTGGAGCAAGCGGGTCAGTTTGGAGTCTCTGTACGGGACATGGGTGCTCTTCCCATCCACCAGAGCTGAAATGACATTCCCCAGCGCAGAAAGGGACAGGTTGATTTTGGCAGCTTCCTTCAGACGCTTCCCCTTGGCGCCTGTCTTGCTCTGGCGCTCGCTGCCAGCCAGGTCAACCATGTTCAGCTTCCCAACTCGGATGTGGTCCTCACCGTCTGGCCCTACTTCGCTGCACTCCACAGTGATGACAAAAATTGCATGAGACCTAGAGCTGCGTTCATTCATGTTGGTGAATCCCACAGACCTGGACTGGTTGCCTATGTTCATCACATGTTCAATCTCTGTGGCATTCTTGGTCACCACTGAAGACAGGTCTTTAACATACACGCCAAAGTCTGGGCTTTCTTTAAGTTCCAGTTTCCTGTTGTTATCTTTGCACAGCAGGTCTCGGATTTCCTCCTGGTAGATCTCGAGATAGGATGACCTCACCAGGTATTTCTGATTCTGGGTTCTGGATATTTGTGTGAAAATGTGCTGAAATGAATTAGGTATGACACCTCTCCTCTCTGGGTCGTTTGAAACCCCTTGCATGGTGTGGGTTTTACCTGTCCCAGTTTGTCCGTAAGCAAATATAGTCCCGTTGAAGCCTTGGAGGACGGACTCCACCAAAGGTCTCACCGCATCGTCATAAATGTCGCTTTGCTTTGAATTCCATCCGTAAACAGAATCAAACGTGAATACTTTCATTGGCTCATCAGGTGGTGCCTTCGGGTTCCTGATGGTGATCTGCCCCAGTTTGTCATCAATCTCTAAAATGTTTTCAGACCCCGCTATCTCTTCTCTCCTGCTGAACGGCCGGCAGCGGACCACTACCCTGACCGCCTCACAATGTTTGGTTTTGGACATTTTATCTTAAAAAAAAAGCTAACATCCCCTCACCACGTTAAAAAAGCAATTATCTCGCGCTGAGTCCACATAATTTCTCTTCTCCGTACAGGTGCAGCAACTCCCATTTTATTTAGTGAAGAAAGGCAAACAAGTCAGACACGCCTTATGTGAGCCGCTTTCATCACCCACCGATGACCGCAGCGTCTCCTCCGCCCCGAGCATCTCTCAGAAAAGAGGCGATGTCACAAGCTTGTAGAGGAGGCTGATGAAAAGGGGAAAAAACCCCACAGAATATCCATCCATCCAGACCCAGCCCACACGTCCCCGGTACACACCCTGCTCTGCGGACAATGAAAATAAGACATGTGACTTGCGCAACGAATTAGATTTCAGCAAACCTTGTGGCCCACAGACGCGGCTCGTTTCCCATCTAAGCAGGACGTGAACGCACCTTGCAAAAGACAACGCAGGTTTATTTCATTCAAGCTTTTATTTCACATCACATTGTCCAGACCAAACCAGAAAATCTTCCACGTAGAAAAAAGAATGAAAAGGCATTCGCTGAAACATACTTGTAGACATTCATTATAGAGGAATTTCATTGTTACCATTTGGAGCCGTTTATTTTACATCTACAGTGTTTTTACATATGCAATGTGTAAATAATTAGCCCCTAACACACCTATGCATTTTTTTTTGTTAATGATAAAAAACAACTTCAATTTTAGATCATCCGTTGCCAGTTTATTAGATAGACCTAACAAAAACCAATGCAGTCTGATCTCCATGAAGATGGAAATGTTCCAGTTTTTCTGACAGTTTTAAAGAGGTATTGATTGTGTTTTATGATCATTTGGGATGATTTTGTGCACACACACACCGTGGGAAAGAATTCAACACACCTCAGATTGCATCCTGTCAAATAATCACAAAACTACACCACTTTAAAACACATTAAAAAACAGAACATTACAAATTTCATGAAGGCAGAATTTACTGTAGGACTATTACATTAAACAGCATTACTTAAGGTTAGGTCAAGGTTTAGACTCAGTGCGTTTCCCCACCCTATACCGATATAAATGTTAGGCACATTCAAATGGCAGGCTGGAGTTTTTACTATTAGCTACTGGCACAGCATGGTGATTCGGTCACTTGTGAAATTTCTTGCTGGAATCTTTTGCATGGTCCAGTAGAAGCTGGCATGGTGCAAACTGATTCCCGTAGACGGCCTCGTATTGCCTCATCTTGTTCACCAGTTTGTCAGCACCAAAGCTGTCCACGAAACGGAAAGGTCCTGGAAGCAGCAAGATGTATGAGAAATATTAGTATTACATACATTAAACAGGAGTAACTGCAAGATGAGTATTCAGTTGTGAAATGTCTTTGCAATCAAATCTGACCTCCAAGGCAGGGGGGGAATCCAAGACCAAACACTGCTCCGATGTCTCCTTCCAAGGGGTTGTTCAAAATACCTTCTTGCAAACACATCACAGCTTCGTTGACAAACCGAGAGACAAGTCTGTACTGCACTTCAGAGTCTGATGAACTGTGAGAAACACGAGTGGTTAAACATCCCAACCTCAAGAAGCAAGTAGAACACTGCATGAACTTTTAGATTTAGACCTGCAATGATAGCACTTTCTCCCCCCCCCCCCTTTTTTTCTTTAAATAAGAAAAGTCTGAACTGAATGTCCTTTTACTACTACTACCTCTATAACTGTCAACTTACACAGAGGGGTTTGGTGTCAACTTATATTTCTCAAGAATGTCTCCAATATCCGGGTTCACATCTCTGACTTTAGTTCCTGGCTGGTAGACGTAGCAACCCTTTCCTGATTTGCGGCCTTGAGAATAATAAAGAAAACATTAACACAATTGAGAATTAAGTAAAATTAAAACTTAAGCCCTTAAGTCACTCACCATATTTCAGTAAGAAGTCAAGTACATACCCTTGAATCCAAGGTCCACCATAGTCTTCAAAACCTCCACATTTCCACCACCAAAGCGGGAGCCAAAAGCTTTCCCAAGGTCCTCTGCCACATGGGCTGCAACGTCAATGCCAACTTCATCAGCCAGTGTGGCCAAACCCACGGGGAACCCAAAACCTGTGGTGAGTGCATCCAGTTTCTTGGGGTCAACACCTTCCTGTAAATGCGGAAAGATAAATTAACATATTCTCTATTAAATATTGATGCTGTTACATCATTTACAGCAGTCAGCACTGAACTCCGAGCTGGAATTTGTTACTGGAACAACACTAACCTGAAGTAATCGCACTGCCTCAGCCAACATGGGAGCCAGGCATCTTGTTGTGTAGAATCCGGGTCCATCCTGCAAAAACATGTTACATTTTAAGTTAAACCATTGTTAGTTTTAGTTTAAACTAAGAGGGGAAAGAACACACATGGCGCCAAATCTCACCCCAACAACTATGATGACTTTTCCTTGCTTCAGGCCAACTGCCACAGCGGAGGCAGTGGTGTCCTTTGATGTCTTATCAGTGGTTATAATTTCAAGGAGCTGCATCTTGTCCACTGGAGAGAAGTAGTGCATTCCAATCACCTAAGAATGGAGAAATAAAACAAATCAAAACTTTCTGATTTCAGGTTAGGTCAACATCAGCACCATTTTTATGGATTTTTATATACAGCATTATTTGAAAGGTGGATCTTAGGAAGTTAAACTCAAGTACAGACCTTTTCTGGTCTTTTGCTGGCAGCTGCGATGTCCTTTATGGGCAGAGCAGATGTGTTGCTGGCAAATATGCAGTGAGGGGGGATCACCTGAGGACAAAAGCAAGATCACAGCTCAAAGTTACAGTTAGTGCTACAAATGCTTACAAACCAAGTATAAATCACATGGTTTAAAAAAAATTATACTCACAGCTTCCACCTCCTTTATAACTTTATGCTTGATGTTTATGTCTTCAAACACAGCTTCAATAACCATGTCGGCCTTTTCAAAACCCTTGTAGTCCAACTGGCCAGTCAGGTTAGACAGTATAGAGTCTCTCTCAAACGATGTAATGCTCTTCTTTTTAGTCTTATCATTGAGCCTTGTTTTAAAAGAAAGAAGTCATACGAGTCAGCAAAAAAAGCTATAACATTACCAGAGGTGACCTGACCGTTATTTTATCATGGCTGTGTCACTGCATCCACTGTATTTCCCATCAGGAGGCGGGTTCGGTGCTGGGTGATATAGAAATGAGCTCACCCTTTGTAAACCTGCTGTTCGCCTCTTGCCAGTCCTTCCACTGTGGTGTCTTTCAGGATTGTATGCACACCTTTGTCCACGCTCACTTGAGCAATACCTGCTCCCATAAGACCTGCTCCCAAGATGGCAAGAGTGCTAGTGGTAAAGAAAGACAACCTAGATGTTAACTTACTGTCATGAGGGTCAATGTGTCATATTATTTAAAAAAAAAAAAAAAAAAAAAAAAAATCAGCAGCAAGAATTCACACAGGACTAAAACTCATTAAAAAAATATCAAGGGCAGGACATTAGCAACTTTAATTATTAAAAGAGGAAGACTTGCTTGGGAATGTTCATGTGGGTTGTACTTTTTTTGAAAGCTTTTGGCTTGTTTATAGTTCTGTTTTGACTTCTGGCAAATTACCAGTTGCGTTAAAATTCTTTATGTTTAAACAAAGCAAAATAAAATAAAGCTGTTTTGTTTTTAAATTGCTGGATGCAAATATTCTAACTCCCTTCCCATCTGCATTACACTTACTTCACTTCTCTTTCAGGGGTTCCAAAGCGATTCTTCTTGCATGCAACCTGACCATGGTACAGACCAATCAGGGCTGCCGATTCTGAAGTTTTAGCCAACTGACCAAAATTCTGTGAGGAACATGGATATTGATGCCATTTATAAACACATTTTATTAATGTAAATATTTAGGGTGCCAATAATTTAGGAAAACAACCTCACCTGAGACTCCGCTAAGTATCCAGCAACAGGTCCTTGTTCAACTCCAGTTTTCACACACTAAGAGGAGGAAAAAATATATAATAAAAATGTTATATTATTTTCTTAAAAAAATCTCGTCATAGAAGCCAAAGGTGCAGATTGCATGAGAAAGGTTTACCCAAAAGCGATGCCATGACTTTGACTTCTCTGTACTATTCATATCTTTCACTGTATTTCCTAAAACATATTCATTAGAAGGCGCTTTTACTTACTTCGATGATTTTCAGGGGTGCTGGATAAAGTCCTTTGCTTTGCTTCATAACTTTGCCTTGGACCGTTTTGTAAATCTGATTCCGGACAAAGGGGAAGCTCATAACATAGTCTTGAATCTCTATGGAGATAAGAACAGAAATGTTATTACGATAAAACAAGCAAGAGTGACTACAGAATCAAATGATAAACAAATCCAATACAACTTACTCTGCATTGTACCCTTTTCTTTGCGAAGAGAAATCTTTTTGTTGGCAATCCCTTTGGCACACTCAATGGCAACTTCCTCAAGGTATTCTATTGTTCTTTCCTCTGGACTCTTCAGTCCTGGTCCTTTAATACAAACAGAAATAATCTCATCCTCAGACTGAACAACGTACACTCAAATACTTACCAAACTGCACAGATTACAGCAAATTATAATACTTCAAATTACCCACATGTTCACCATTTTTTAATTTTACTTGGGTAGCATTAGAGTTTTACCTAGAGGATCTACAAGTTGGTCAACAAGCCTCATCTTCTTGGCTTTATCTGCTCTGATATTTCGTCCTGTCAGCATCATGTCAAAAGCAGAGGGGAGGCCAACCTACAGGTAAAGAAAGCAGATCAATAATGCACTGAATAATCATCACTATTTAATGTGTGGAGAAAGAAAAATACACTAATACATTTTTTAAATTTTTATAGAGGTTATAATGTGGTCCACACTAGAAAACAGCACACGATGAACTGGAGTGATAATCAGTCTGCAAAGTCTCCAACAGCTTAAACCAATTACGAGCATTACCTGACTGCTCTGTATTAGAGCTTTGCCAATATAGAACATCGTTGCTGCTATTTCACAAGTATCTCCCTCAATGCCACTTTTTTAAGTGAATAAAGTTCAACAAAATCAAAGACAATTTGGGGAATAAATTCCAGTACTAACCATTTTGGGGAGTCTTTGCGTACCACCAGCTCCAGGTAGAAGACCCAGCATCACCTCTGGAGTCCCGAGAACTGTTTTTTTGCTCTTTGTTGCAACTCTGTACTGGCAGGCAATAGCAAACTGAAATGCAACACAAAGAGCAGGTTAGAGAACACATTATCATCATCGATCCCTGTTAAACACAGCAAGCTGCTAAAAATAACACTTATTTACCTCTAAGCCTCCTCCTAAGCAAGAACCATTGATGGCAGCGA